GGGCAACCAGTAAGACTAAGCTCGGATTTCTTAACAGAAACCATGCAGGCAAGAAGACAGTGAGACGGTATATATAAAATCCAGAAAGATAAAAATTTCCAACCACGAATTATGTACCCAGCAAAATTGTCCCTCAAATATGATGGTGAAATTAGGACATTTCTAGATAAGCAGAAACTAAGGGAATTTGTTAAAACCAGACCAACCTTACAAGAGATGCTAAAGGAAGCCCTATGGCCAGAGAAGTAACAACAGCCAACAACAACTGACCATTAACACACATGATGATATAACCCTGAAACCAACCCAGTTATGGATGTATCCAAAGTAAATAAGCCTACAAGTTGTAAACAGGGAACCAGAGATATTAATTGACAAATGAGGACAATTACAAACCAAAGAGAGGTAAAGAACTGTGTCATTACAGAACTTCTAGATAGCAGGGAACTCAAGACAACTACCAGATAGAATGAACTGTTCTAAACTTGCAAAGATAACTATAAATCACAGGGAAACCTCAAAGAAAAATGATAAACCTTCACATCAAAATAAAAAAGAGGACCAGCATAAATATTCAGCAAATACTAAAACAACAGCAATGAAAGAACTGATAACCCGATTCATAAACAAAATGAGCTCAGCATAGAAAATTATATGGAACAAAGAAATCGACACAATGAAAAAGCACATGACAAAAATGACAGCAACAAATTCATATTTACTGATAATTACATATCTGGCAAGGGACTTATCTCTAAGATTAATGGAAAACTCCAATGCCTCAACACCAAAGAAATTAACAATTGAATTGAAAAATGGGCAGAAGACATGAATAGACATTTCACCAAGGAGGATATTTATATGGTCAGCTAATACATGAAAAGATGCTCATAATCATTGGCCATCAGAGAGATGTAAATCAAAACAACAATGAGATATACCGTCTCACCCCAGCACTGATGGCAAGGTTCAACGAGACAGATAATAACAAATGCTGGTAGGGATGTGGAGAATTGGAACTCTCATACACTGCTGGTGTGACTGTGAAGTGACACAACCACTGTGAAAAGCAATATAGCGATTCCTTAGAAAGTTGGAACTGGAGATACCATTTGACCCAGCAATTCCATTACTAGGTATATATCCTAGAGTGGTGAGAGCCAGGATAGGAACAGATACATGCAAGCTCATGTTCATCACAGCACTATTTACAATAGCAAAAATATGGAAACCACCTACGTGCCCATCAGTGGAAGAGTGGATGACCAAACTATGGTACATACACACGCTGGAATGCTATGCGGCACTAAACAATATTGTAGAGTCTGCAAAACACTGCATAACATGGATGAACTTGGAGGACATTATGCTGAGTAAAATAAGTCAATCACAGAAGGACAAATATAGCATTAGTTCGTTGTTGTGGAGGTCAAGGAAAGGTTTATATATGGAGGGAAACTTTCTTTGTTGGTTGCCAGGCCTGGGAAGGGAGAGGAGGGAGGAAAAAAAAAAAAAAAAAAATGCATTGACCCATGTCACTTTAGTTTTGTGTATTTCACTGTACATAAATTATATTTCAATAAAATTCATTAAAAAAAAAAGACTGTCCTTCAGGAAGAAAAACATTGATCCCAGATTGAAGCTCAGAAGTGAAGTAAGGACAGAAGAACATAAAAAAAAAGTGAAAATTTTGGTAAATATTAATGGATATTTTAAAATATAGTAACATTTTATTAATTTAAACAAGAGATTAAAGTATACAAAAAGAGTTGAGGAAGATCAATGAAGTTAAAGGTTTCTGAAGACCTTATGATTATCAAGAATGTGTTAAAAATACAAACAAATATTAGAATTTCATATTTGAGATTTTATATATGGTAATTAGTAAATGAATAGTAAAAGTGTGTTTTATTAAGTTATATATTAAGTTATATGGTAAAATGAGATAATAAAAATTAATTCATCAAAAGAAAGTAAAAAGACAAGAAATAAGAACAGAGAGCAAATAGGAAGTACATATTAAGATGAAAGATTTAAGCTCAAAATATTAGTTGTTATGTTGTTGTTGTTATGTGCCATCGAGTCGGACCCGACTCATAGTGACCCCTCTTTGGGCTGCCGAGGCAGTATCACTACGGAAGTAGATTGCCCAATCTTGCTTCCGAGGAGTAAATGGGTTAAAATATCCAGTGAAACAAACAGATTTGTCAACCAAAGAAAAACAGCAAATCCAAAGACATAAACTATGAGTAGCATGCAAAGGGTTTTAAGGATGGAGATTTTGTGTTAACTATTTTTTTTCCTAATAGGTAGCAAATGTTCACTGTTTACACTTAGCCCGTTTTTCACTTGTTATGCAGTATTTTTCACATAGAGGCCTGTATGCTACCAATAATAGTTGCTATTTTATAGGAAAGAAAGAATAGAAGATTTTGAAAATGAGGAAATATAGACATAAACAAAGCATAAGAAAGGAAGGGTTTCATTCAACAAAAATAATTATCCAATGAAAAGCACTGGTTATCTTTAACAAGAAAAAATATACACAATAACTAAGAGAAGTATTCATATGAAACTAAGGAATAAATTTAAGTTCCCAGTTTTATTATTTTTGTTCTTTTCTTTCTTCTCAATAACTACCATTCTACAAATCCCTACTTTGCAGAAAAGTAAACAGAAGAGCCCTGAGACTCCAATCCTTAGTAGGCTTACTTGCAAGGTAAGCCTTGACTGTCTCTAGGCATGTGGATGTCAGTAGGGTTCCCACCATTCCCTAACTGTTTACATAGGGTAGTTATGAGTTGGAACCAACCTGACAATACCTACGAACAACATAGTTTGCTTGTAAGTAAAACAAACTACAAGACAAAACAAACTGAACATTTAAGAAAGCCAACTTACCTATATAGAGAGAAGATTTGTGTGTGGGTACAGAATCATCAATAAAAGCTGTTCCTAGGGTATACAGAGGAGTTCCTCCTGTTCCCAGTAACAGTTGTCCCAAGATGAAGACATACAAGTAGTTAGAAAGTGAAGACATTGAAGAATTACACCTCGTGCTGTCCCTTGCTGCTAAGCAAGTATCTTTAGGAAAAACAAAAAAATTAAAATTGAAGACTTACAGAAATTTAGCTAATAATTTAAAAATCCATCTTACAAATTATACTTGCCAAACATAATCTTCTTTCTTTCTTTCAATCAGTTCACTTTAATTATATATATATAGTTTAAATATAATTATATATGTTGCTGTTGTTGTTATGTGCCGTCGAGTCAGACCTGACTCATTGTGACCCCTCCTTGGGTTTCCAAGGCAGTATCACTACGGAAGTAGATTGCCCCATCTTCCTTCCAAGGAGTAGCTGGTGGGTTTGAACTGCCAGCCTTCTGGTTAGCTGTCAAATGCCTTAGGCACTAAGCTACCAGAGCTCTGATATATATGTTTCATGGTTTCATATATATATATATATATATATATATATATATATATATAAAATACACACACACACATCCATGTCAAACTTTAG